TCCACAGAGTAACAGTAACAAAAAAGGCCTCTTTAAAGATAGGAAAAAAAAAGAAAAAAAAAACAAAATACAATGATTAAATACAAGTACAGACAATATTATCAACAGTTAAAAGAAAAGGCATTAACAATTTCCATAATATATACAAAGGATTATAAACGGAAAAGGAAAAACGATAAAAAATCATGGACAGCCGTACAAATTCGCTGGGTCAATGAAACTAAACACAGTGGTTACTAACCAACAATACATCAACTTAGGATATTAGTCTTCTAATCTAATTCTCGATGCCTAGCAATCAGGTGCATTTATTAGCAACATCTTAAAAGCTATAAAACGAACACAAAAGAAAAATATGAAAGAGGGATGCTCTTTCCATTTGAATAAGTTACCACTCAGTTTTACAGAGGATCTTCGAAAAAATTCGCTCAATTTTCTATAAAATTTGAACTTAATATTCAAGTTTCAATATTATGAAAACAATGGAGTTCTGGATTTTCCTGGAAGGGATTTTAACTCCAATTTATTTTCGATTTCAAATCGGAAAACAGCATCAATCCTTCCAGTATAAAAAACATTCAAACAATCAAAGAGTATGATCAACTGGATGGGGAAATGCTATCATCATATCGAGTGAGAGTTATTTTGTTTGGCTGTGTCATCATCCAAAGATCGTGCCTGGAAAGATAGAAGGGAATGGAACGTTACAGTTGTTATATTGAATGGTGCTTGGATATCATACAAACAGATACGGCATTTTAAAACCATTTGCTGCTATGATACTTGAGAATTATTTTCTGATTATAATATCTGAACTGTGAGCAGCCAGCGCAATATTTCGGCAATGGATATTCATTACTATATTTAACTAACCCCTCAAAAATAATTTATTAAGAGGAAGAAACGAAGAGAAAGAAACATACTTCAGATCAATTGGAATCAGATCAGCAAATCTTTCGTTCAACCCATTTCGTAAAACAGCATTGGCAGAAAGGTCTTTCAAAGTTGGCGCTGAACAATTTAAGGATAAATTAAATATCAGATTTTCGACAAATCGATAAGCCTACACAGCAAATAGTATGATCGCTTTTGATAGGTGAATTGCAAAGAATTAAAGCGCTGAAATTGGAAGATAAAGACGACCAGAAACAAACCGTAATCAAGTACATGAAGATCAGAGAGGTCGCACAGGCCGCTATGTACAGGATCCATTTTCTTTGAACTAGAAGGCCTGCAATGCATAAACGGTCAAGCCTCATTACACTAGTAATTTTTTACCGGTAGTTAAATCTGGTTGAAAGCATATGTTTTAGTTATTTTACACATTTACCACAATTTCATCTGATCATCCTAGATACCAGCAAATTTAATGCCAGTGATAAATTATTCCTTCATACGTTTACCACATATGAAGGAAAGTCTTTCCGTTCTGTCGAGTTTCAAACTTTCTAACCGCACTTCACTCTTCATTTAATTAAGCCAAATTAGTATAGCGATGGGAACATGAGTCTTGCATTGGACTGTAAATTTTAAAATTTGATTTTTGGATGTAGTATTGTTCATTATTCGAACACTAGTATAATGGAACTACACAGAGTGAGTTTCTTAAACTGGGAATACCTGTGGTTTAAAAACTAAAAGGCAGAAATAAAACTTATGATTACACCAACAACTGGTGCAAATTACGTCAAAGGAACTAAAGAAGAAGCCTAATTAATCAGGCAGCACAACATCCACGAAATTCATCAATCCGAACAGAGAATGAAAATTTAATCAACTGGAATTGCTCCGAAGCAGAATAAGGCATATCACCTACATCGTACCACCAAACAGGAAAACGCGCTCGCCAACGACAACCGCACATTGTCGTCGTCTCGGTGAAGGGCCAATGCCGAATGGTTTCAAACGGCGCCAGCACGATGTTGCAGGATCAAATTCATGCAATTCGTTTAAATGTCGATTTTCCGTACCCAAATACCCACCAAATATATACATCTTATTATTGCGAACCCCTGAAATATATCATAACAATTCAAACCGATAAAACAATGGAAAATATGAAACATTTTCAAACTAAAAACTGTTCAAACAAGTGGAATACGGATCGTATCTTTAATTCAGGTGAAACTTCATTGTCTGTAATAAATGTGCAAGATGATGCTTAGCGTCTTATATTTCATATTAAGCACCGAAGATGTGCTTCAAGAGAAAAGAAAAACTTGCAAGCACTATGACTCCGTCGACCACATGGACAATCACCAGTCACTTTCGGATCTTCCCAACGACCCGTCTTCAAATTCAACACTTTGAGTACATCAGAATAATAATCTCGTGAACTGTGAAATGCACCTTGCAAATCGCTACGCCCACCAAATATATACATTTTCTTATTAATGACACAAGCTGTATGAAAATCTCGCCACTGAGGCAATTCACCCTGCAATAGATGTTGCAATGAATGCAACAGAATCGTCAAGTTTCGATGCAAAAAAACAATGATAAGTCACCAAAAAACAAATTCACACTTCTCATAAGATTTTGAACCATCTATCAGCAATTTCTTTTTAATATGTTTACATTAAGCTTAACATTAAAATTACCTGAACTGTTCGACTTTGTTTTGTGAAATTTTAGTTTCCAAAAAGTGTAAAAGATCATTATAAAGTTGAACTTGACGAATAATTTTAAATATATTAAAAATGAACATTTCAATATTGACAGTATTGATATCTTCTTGAAGTACGAAAACAAGAACTTTAAATAATTTACCGTTGTCTTCAATTCGTACCATTTTCTCTGCTTGAAATTATAAGCAAAAGTTTCTTGACTGAACCTGAAAGTCAACAGATTTCATGGAAATTTCAATAATCAATCGAGGCTACGAAAGGTATTAATTATATGTAAAGATATGTAAGAAATACAATATTTAGATATGTCATATGAAAAACGTGAAGATAACGACAAAGCGCCATCAAAATCAACTATATATTAAAACATTTGGTAGAAGTATTAAGGCAAATACAAATTAATAGGCAATGAAAGTGGCAATATATTTCCATTACAACTATCCCATTACCAAATATATTTCCATTACCAAACTATTTTTAAAGTGACCGATGGGTCACTTTAAAAAATCCATAGCACACTCTGATGAGACAATGTCAAATAACATGAGTGAGCCTTGTGGTTGTACCTGATGACTTATAAACTCTGAAATTCACAGCATAAATATTAAGTAAAAAAAGGAATACCTCTGTGAAACTTCTTCAAAACCACCGAACATGTACATCAGATCACCGACAACCACTGCACTATGTCCATCACGTGCCGGTGGTGCTTCACTTTCACATGGAATGATTGACCATGACCTCGCTTCTAAAATTAAACTATAATCTCGAAAAAAAAAAACGCTGTTGTCATGTTTATCACAGAAATCAATGTTTCTGAAATTAATTTCACCAGAGATCACAGAAAAGTAAAATCAAACGAAATAGTCTTCCATGATAAATCTAGATTTCATATCTGATTTCCTAATGCAAAATATTGTTAAAATTCAATAATTCCGTCATTTTCGCAAAATTTAATAATTACGTGAAAAACTTCTACGTCCCCTAACCAAATCTCAACTTTCTCCTGTAAGGACTTCGTAATAATTTAAATTGCCGATTTAATTTTTTGAATAACAAAATTATACCTGGATCAAAGCAGTACATCTTGGAACATGCACCAAATTCGTCATTTCGTCCGCCCCACAAATAAGCTTTACCCTCATATTCAACAACTGCATGCCCATACCGTTGATATGGCCAGTTATTCTGTGATACAGACGGATAAGCAGTTTCGCTACTATTCGTTTGTACCGATAGCTTGCGCCAACGGTAATTTCCTGAATTAATCTTTCTGAGTTATCTTCTTTTTTCCTTTCTGCTTGAAATATCAAACACGAAAAATATAAGAAACCAAGCAAATATTATAGTGAGAACCAAGTAGTAACTCACATCAAACAATAACCACCGGTCAAATAAACCCAGGTCAAGCAAGTATCACAGGTCAATTTTTAACCGGCAACGAATGGACCATAGTGAAACAGATAAGGTTCATAGTTGTCATGTCATAAAGATAAAGGTGGGACGCACGAGGGGTCATGGGAAAAATTTCTTTTTTAAAATTTAGCGTGTAATTTTTGCGTGACATTTTGAATATGTGTGATGATGTTACGATTTACGTCAGTTAGATTGTAAGTGTGACTGATAATTTTGTATCTTTTACATATGTTATATGGTATTTTTGGAGCATATCGATCGATTTTATAGACCAAATTTTAAAAAAAAAAAGAACAAAACAAAATTCCCCTGGTACATTCGGCCTTTATCTTCACAATATAACAACTGTGAACCCTATCTGTTTCACTATGGCCCATTCGTTATCGGTAAAATGTTGATCTGTGACGATCATTTGACTGGTAGTTATTGTTTGATGTGAGGTTACTATTTGATAAATGATATTTGTATTCCACTATGATATATTTGCTTCATTTCTTTTCATATTTTTCCTCTTTGATAAACGTGATTAATATATCAAAAAAAGGAAAATATAACTTGAATTCCAAAAAAAAAAAAACAAACAAACAAACCGGTATCTAAAACGTGTACATCAACTGGTTGACTGCCATCATAAAGTTCACCAGAGCAGTAACCACCAAATGAATAAATTTTATCATTCAACGCCACTGCTGCATGATTAACACGTCTTGGACCACCTTCAATCGTTATCGTCCAATACATCATATGTATGAATATTTGATACTGTTAATAATATTGATGATATTAGCAGTAATTGGCTAATTTGCATACGCTAAAAGACATTATTTTCACGGAAAAAACACGTACGCATACAATAAAACATAATGTATACCACTTTTTTTATTTACATAACACACACTACTTTCTATTTACGTGCACAATGGAAGAAAAAAAAAAAA